AAGATAGTTGCCAAAACAATTGATCTGGAAAGAGGAAATGTATAGAAAAAAAAGAGTGTCCTCAAAATGTTCGGCGTTAGTGGACAATAGACCAAAATTTTCTCAAATTCATCATTATGACTCCAAAGTTGATCCCACTTTATTCAAAGGAGAAAATGGATTATATTTGATTATCCTAATCTGATCATTTGTATATCTGTACCACCTTAGTATAATTATATAAAGTGGGACAAATACTAAAGTATTTCTACCTAAAAACTTAATTAAGATAAGGTTCAGACTTTAGCAAATTCAAAGAAGCATCGAAATGAAACTATTTAACGTGAAATTTAACCAAGATAGATTCGTATGTGTAAAAAGTTTTCGTTGAATTTTGTATGTATTTGTTTTTATTAATAATTTTGATTTGTCCGTTTAAATTAATGGCTGCAAATAGTGTGGAACGTTTTAATATCTTCATTCAAAAAGCTTATTCAGAAGAAGAAAAAAGCTGCATTTTTCTTCTGTAATTGCCATTTGGTCAACCTCTTTTGTGGATCTTTAAAACTGTTTACATTTTGCTACTCTTTATAATTCGATAATTACTTTTTCAGTTATTTTATCATTTCTATGAAGTGTATAATCCTCATGTAATGATGTTAGAAATCTGTCAGAAATCAGAATCAACTGATTCTATGTTTTTTGTACTATTCCACTAATTTATTAATATTGTAGATAAAAAATTTGTTCTTATTGTTTTCAATTTTTCACCAAATATTTTTTCAAATCAACCAAAAATCCACCAAAAATAATTTCATTTAATTAATGTGATCACAAGCGTGTAAATGTTGACAATGATACCAAATAAAAGACATTCTTTAAGCTTTATCTAGTAGTGAGCCCCACTAGTTTCCAATTTTAATCTTCAGTTTCTTCTTTATCTGTCACAGACTCACATAGAGACTTTGCTTTCTCACCTTCTTCTTTATCTAAGGAAACAAAAAAAACAGAGGTTTTTAAGAGAGACATCACATAATCTTGTGAAGAGAGATGGGGAATTACAAGTTCAGAATTTCAGAAATGCTCCCAAATGCATGGTTCCACAAGCTCAAAGACATGACTAAACACTCTAAACCCAAAAACAAATCTTCTTCTTCTTCCTCAAACACTTGTAGCAAGAAGAAACCTTACTCAGATTCTCTTCCTCATCACTCTGATTTCTCCAACAGCTTAGTAGCTAACAATCCTCCTCACCATAACTCACCAAGAAACTCTCTTCACACAAAAAGGATGAGTAAAAGAAAGACACTGGGCAAGCCATCCCTTAAACCTTTGACTCCTCCTCCTCTTGTATCTGCAAGTTTCAAGAAGAGCAAAATCAACGGTCAAGATTCGTCTTACAGCTTGTTCCCAGCTCTTGAAACCTCCCCTGAGTCTTTTGTGTATAGTTTCTACGAAGAGGAGGAGGAGGATGAGTTCGTTGACTTTTCCAACTTCAAGATCAACACAAAGAACAAAGCTTTCACCAAGCACAAGGTCAAAGTGTTTGATTCGAAAGAGAAAGCTTGTCTTGCAAGTAATCCGATCAAGAAACCGCAGAAAAGCCATCTTTCTGTGAAAATTAACAGAGAGAAAGAAGAAGAAGACGATGGTGAATATAGAGCAGAGAAGAAATACCAAAGGCAAGTTTCTAGTGGAAGAAAATCATCTGCTGGGATAAACCTCAAAAGAGTAAATTCACCTAGAATTCAACTCTCAGGTACTCGTAGAAGCACTTCTAGAAGATCAGAGAGCAAACAAGATGTTCTTGAGAGCTTCGCTGTGATGAAGCGGTCCTTGGATCCAAAGAAAGATTTTAGGGAATCAATGATTGAGATGATAGAAGAGAACAACATCAGAGCTTCAAAAGACTTGGAGGATCTTCTTGCTTGTTACCTTTCTTTGAATCCAAAAGAGTATCATGATCTTATCATCCATGTTTTCGAACAAATCTGGCTTCAGCTTACAAAAACCAAGTAAAGAAAAGAAAAAAAAAAAAAACTCTTAATGTAATAGTAGAGTTAACCTAATGGTCAAATTAGTATCAATATTTGTCTTGTGAAATTTGTAGTTGTTAACTTGTTGTTGATGTTCATAAGAAGTTAGATGGAACTGTGGAGATTCTCTTTGAATCCCATTTTTTTTTTTTATGTATTTCTTTTTTCTTTATTTCTCTTTTGTAAAATGTAAGCAAATAATAAAAGTTGTTATCATATTGTCGTTTTAATACAAACATGATCACTAAGGGCGTGAAAACACTGTTTAATTAAGACAGAATTGATCACTAAGCATATTCTTGTCATCTCTATGATTATGAACTTATATATAATATATACTACTCACAAAAGATGCATCAAGATTTGATTATTTCTTAGAATATGAGGATGGATTTTGCGCCATTATCATTTGAATATTTTGAAATAACAAAGTTGAAAATGGCGGTAAAAAGAGCAACCAGAAAAAGACAACAGTGAAGAGACATGAACAATTTGAAAATCCAACAAGTACGGAGTATATAGATGCATGAAGAACATTAGATAATCGTTGAAGGTAGAGAGAGGACCACACTGACACTTAAACTGAGATGTCATTAAAGAAGAAAAAAACAGATATGAGTTTTAATCCTTAGGTTTGTTTATTTTTCTGTGAAGGATAACGAAGAATGAAGAAGAAGAGGAAGAGGACCACTGTTGCACTTGCACATTCCATCCCTTACCTCTGTTGTTTATGAAGTTTCAGCAAAAGACATGTGATATGGTTTCTGACTTCTGAGTGAAGTGAGCAACAAATATGCAAATCAATGGGCCTAATGGATCTTGCAGTTTTGGATTATAAAGTTTAGAATTAAAAAGAATAGGTGATACAATAAAAACCTCTATAAATTAATAATATCGGGACCATGATATTTTATTAATTTATAGTGATATTAATTTATCTATAAATTAATAAGTATATATTAATATTTATTAATTCATAAAAAAATTTGTTTCAACTGTGAAAACTTTTTTTAAAAAAATATGAGCTAAAGCAATGTGATCTAAATAAAATTAATGTTTTCGATATTATAAATTTTATAGTTTTAGACTTAATCACTTAATATTTCGAAAAGAAAATAATTTCTTTTGACAATGAATAACAATGTTTATAGAATTCACATATACAAACGATATACATAAATTAAAATTCATAAATAGTGACATCCATTGTATTTTAAAAACCTATACGACTATTAAAACAAAAATTATGCATATTCAAAATTTGAAAACTTACAACAACTTTTAGCTATTTTTATGAAAAACACTAAAACTATTATATATATATATGTGCAAATTTACATGATTATCAATTTATGATATTATTGGGACTATATTTTTACATAGGGATTTCAAAAAACTTATTATCTTATTATCTTATCGAATTTTGTGAATTTTTACATTTGCCCAACTCGGGATCGGCAAAATTTATTATTTTATCGTGTTTATTAATTTATCGAGTATTAATTTATAGAGGTTCCATTGTATATCATAAATTTAAGTTTTAAACAAGTATGTCAGGCAAAATTCTACATTCTAATTTTATAAATAGTTATGAGATAACCTCATAACCATAAACTACACCAATCATCATGAACAAAACATGATTCACACGAACTTTTTTCTATCTTGATCACCTAGGTAACTTCACAAATTATTTGTTCGTCTAAAACTACACACACTCTTAAAATTCGTTTTAAATTCAATATGACCGAAACCATTCATTTTCAAAATAACAGTTATATATTAAATTGCATTCCAAATTTGGATTCATTTTTAAAAACTTTTGAAATTTAGTCAAATGGATCAAGAAAAATAACAAAACTTTGTGTAGTTTCATGTCGATATATATATATATATATATATATGGTTGTTTGTGTAGTTGTATACTATTTTTTAGTAAAACTGTAAACCATTTTTCAAATAGGAATGATGAGAAAAATTTCTCCAAATTTTTTTTTCTATAAAAAATTATATAACGTAGATTATTCATTATTGTATCAAAGTGTTTTTAATAAATCCATTTATATATCCAAAACTTAAATCTATATTATTACTTTTGATATCCAATTCTGAATTAGTGAATGAACTTGACATAATAAACAAAAGGATTTATATATTTAAATTCGTAAATTAAAATGTAAATTACATACTATTTTACATTATAAGTTTTGTTTTTTAAACACCAACAGTATATAAGTAATTATAAAGGATAAATAAATGAAATAAAATTTAATTATGCCATCATTTTATATTTCGGTAATGCGAGCACACGAGTGAGTGCATATCCAATAAAATAAGATTTTTTTTTTTTGTTTTTTTTTTAAATTCAAAATTGAAAGCAAAGGAAAAAAAAGAAATCGAAATCGGAAAGTGTATATTGTTGTTCCTCGATTCCTCGCTCTGCGCCGCGTCCTCTCTCCCAAATTCATCGGAAGCAAAGCAACCTTCTTCTCCGATCTTCGTCTGGTTCTTTCCTAAACCCTACTTTTCTTCTATTCACAGTATATCTTCTTTAAATTTCAGTCGAAGCTAGCTTTGTGTCGATCTCAAAGTAGATCGGAATCAAGTAAAAGAGATCTCTAAAATCCATATTGTTACCGATCTGTTGCAATGCACGAATCGTAGAATCTTCACCTACATTAGTCTAGATCTAATCGTCTTTTGAAATCGAAATTTAGTTTTTAAGGAAATCGCAAAACCTAGTTATGGAACCGTTGCGTCTTGCGTTGTTCGCTGGTGATGTAGGATTTTGGTGTTTGTAATTTGTCAGAATCAATGGCAACGATTAGGAACTTGAAGATAAAAACATCGACATGTAAAAGGATTGAGAAAGAGCTTCACTCTTATGAGAAAGAAGTTGAGAGAGAAGCTGCTAAGACTGCTGCTATGAAGGACAAAGGTGCTGATCCCTACGACCTTAAACAACAGGTACAAATTTCATAGATGATCTTCTTCATTTGTAATCTCTCGGTATTCGAAGATGATAAGATATGTTTGTGTTTGTGTTGTGTTCTTAGGTTGCATTTAGGTTCTTGCCGTTAGCCATTTGTATCATGTAAAGCTAAATTGGTTACAGGGTTTCAGATTCCGATTCAGACTTGGTTTTTCCTAATTGTGTATGTGGTGATGCAGGAAAATGTGTTGGGTGAGTCTAGGATGATGATTCCGGATTGCCACAAACGACTCGAGGCTGCATTAGCTGAACTCAAGTCCACTTTGGTAATTACATTTTCCATTGTTATTGATTGCTAAGCATTGGTCTAGCTTTATGTATTCGTTTATAAGAAATGCAGAGCGGTGATTTGAAGTTTAAGAGCATCACATTATCAAATTATAACTTTATGCGTCTATAGCGATTGGATTAATCCCCCGAATGAAAGCATCTTAGACTCTTAGTCCCTCTCTGAAGAAAACGATGAATAAGGACACAGAGGAAACAGCGAAATTCCTACTGTGTTCTGTCGCTAACAAAAACTGAATTTGCAGGCGGAATTGGAAGAGACGGATGAGAAGGAAGGTCCAGAGATTGAAGATGCAAAGAAGACAGTTGCGGGCTTGGAGAAGCAGTTTCACACTGAAGATGCCTGATTTATTGATTTAGCCATCTGTGAGTGCTTGCTCTGTATTCTGGAAATGGTCTAGTTAATCAATTGTAAGAATCTTCGTCTCTGTCGAATCGCATACACTAAAAGTTGCCTTCTTTGAACTCTTAATACATTTTGGTGATCGTTCTTGCATTCAATATCTTTCAAATGTACCACACCAGCTATAATGTGTTATAGCTGCAACTAAACGATTGAAAATTGATATAACTTGGACAACCATTATACGTTTTGGTTATGAGCTAAAACGATGATGAATCACACTACCGCAAACTAAGTGAAGATTAAGAGCATGGTTTGAGGAAATGTGATCTATCGGATTCTCAGCACACAATCACTTGGTTTGCCAAGAGATTCAACAATTTTCTCTTTGATGAGAATAATAAAAACATTCAGGATATGTTCTACTAAACGATTTAAAGTTTGATTTCTTTCAAATTTTAGCTTTTCTTGTCAATAACAAAAGAAATTAAGGAGGAGAAGAAAAAAAGGGAGAATTGTTAAAGTGTCGTCGTTTGTGGGAGAAAAAGTCAGAGTTTCTCATAATCCAAAATCTCTCAATCTCATTTGCCTTTCGTCCGACCACTCTTCCTGCTATTAAATCCCACCTGACAACATTCAAAACAGGAAAAGAAGAAATTTAAGTTTCTGTTCTTACATTCTATTAGTTTACTATATCATTCATTCCGTTTCACTGTTTTTACACTACAGGAAAAGAAGAAATTTATGTTTCTGTTCTTACATTCTATTAGTTTACCGACAACATAAAAGCTTTTGTAAAATAAAGTAAAAAGACTCAAAAGTAATTGTTTCCCATTTGTGCTAAGAGATGGTGAACTTTTTCTAAAACTTGAAAAAGTTGGATACTACGATGGCATCATATGTCAAACACGTTCGAAACTACTCTACAATAACGCATTATCAACCTTATTAAATGGACCTAATTTATGATAAAAGTTATGACTAATATATGCATGCTACATCAAAAATCATCTAAAGGCTTATTCAAAAACCGAATCAGAAGGTGAACCAAAAAGTTTCATGAAGCACTATTGGGTAATTTAGTTGATCTGGTATAACTGCTGGTTAGTGAATTTTTGTATTAGTTTTTAACTTTTTATCAAACATAAAATCAAACCTTATACAGCAATTTTGTTTTGGGTTTTTCCCCTTTAACACAAACTAAGACATTATACAGACATATTTAGGCTAAAAACAAATATTTTATATTTGGAATAGATAAATATATTAACAGAAGAAGAGACTTCCTCTTGGAGTGGGAATTACCTATCACCGACAAGTCTGTACATTCGAGAGATGAGATCTTCCTCTTGTTCGGTCATACTGATAAACTCCCATTCGATGCTACTCACTTCTGCATTTTAGTTTAGTTTTATTCAACCAAAATTACATGAGAAGATACTTTAACGTTGACAAGTTAAGAGGATGAGCCAGTCTAGACCCCAAAAAAATTAAGAAAACGATTTGAGACTAATAAAATTAAAGAGAGACCTTCGGAGTCATGTCGCGATCTAGTGAACTTGGTTTGCCTAAAACTGCGACCGCGACGAAGACGGTTGGTATTATCCATAACTACTGTGGAAAGTATAAGAAGATTATGTAAATATAGAGAGAAACTGAAATGTAGGGTTTGGAGAATGCAAGGTAGAATAGATGTGAGGGAAACAAAAGTTATGTAGAAAGAGAGAGAGAAGAAATGGTTTATTTTTTATTGGAATTTCTACATACTCCTTAATATACTATTACTCACTTTTTTATAGACATCCCGATTGAATACGTCAAAACAAAATTTTGAGATATGTTCGATTTGTTTGTTACTATTCAAAAAGTTCATAATGCTCACAATAAATTTTGGTCAGATTTTGATTTCTGACCTAAATTCACAAAGGAAATCTTTGGACGTCATTCGAAGTTACTATCCATTTTTTTTTTTTTTTGATAATGGTTTTGTAATATCCAAAATTTAAGAGAACATTTTAACAAAGTCACTAAAATGACGTGTTAGTTTTATTCTTCTTGGCTAGTAGCGTATTAAAATCGAGTGAAAAACATCACATGCAATTACATTTCGCAATAAATATCGTGAACACGTAAATCCTACAAGTTATAATTTATATCACAGTTTTCCTTTTTATATTTTGGAAATTTTTACGGACGAAGAATGGAATGTGAATGTACATTAACTACAAGTTTATTTTAGAGTTCTCCAATACCATTAGTTGAGATTTTTTTTCCCCAGAATTTTCTATTTCATGAAAATTGGACAGTCCAAAAACCGTTAATTTTGTGTTGTGAATTGTGATATATAGTTCTGTGGGTCGTAATGGTACTTATAAAGTCCAACAAAACTTTTGTTTTCTTGTGCCTTTGGAAATTTACATATGCATACCCAGATTCCCTACAGATAATTTTATTTATGCATCTACTCAATTATCGTCTTAGTGGCAGGGGCGGAGGTATTGTCATAAGAGGGGGGTCAATTGACACCTATGAAACTTTTTAACTTAGTGTAATTTTGATTAAAATTTCTAAGTTGACTCCATCCAAAAATAAAACTTGACCCCTATCAATTTTTCGTTTAGTTGCAGCTCAATAAATATTTGAATAATACAAACTTATATTTCAATAAAACTCCTCAAATATATATATATATATAATAAAATAGTTTCATTTTTAAATAATTATTTATTTTGTTTTTATTAATAACAAGCACTTAATATTGTGACAAACTTAACAACGATCAAACTAATAAAAATATAAATGCATATGGTACATTTTTAAGGTGTATTTTTACAATAAAAAAAATTATGTAAATTTCTTTATAAAAGAAAAAAATTTTGACCCCTATAAATTAATTTTCTGCCTCCACCATTGCTCAGTGGTGATAAATGCAGTAACTGTAAGAAACGGACGTATCAATTTCTTTTCCTGACAGATTGAAAGTTGTCTTAGAGAAATCAGTACTTATATGATGAGCATATCATCTTCTCAGCGTGAAATAATAATGAACCATTTTTTTATTTTACCCTCATATATATATTAAAGAAATACGTTAGGAGAAAAACGGTCCTACGTTTTAGACCAATTAAAAAATATATATATGAAATTCCTCTAATTTATCATTATGTGATCATAATAATGGATATAAATCCTATCAATCGTGACATAACATTAAAATTGATGGACTAGAACGACTTCATTGAAACATGTTTGCAGCTGTTGTCTAGTCACTTCAACTAAACTTGGTAAGAGCATGTCGAGACAAAATCATACATTTAATTTATATGGCTACATAAAAAAAAGATTTTATGTCGTGATCTTTATGCAAATGACGGTTCTCAAGTAAAGCGGCTAAACTGATTCTAAGTTCGAAAGGACAAGAATTTTCGTTTAAGTGTTTACCGGATTTGATTGGCCTAAAAAGGGAAAAACATGGTTTAATGGCCCAACTCTTTTTTATTTTAATGGCTTAGCAAAATCGTTATTGTATCCTGAAATAGTATTGTAGAAATCGCTATGTTTACGCCCGCTATAGTAGATCCCACACTTTATATAGCGTTTTTTGCTAATGCTATAGAAACCATAAGTAATATAGCGTTTTCATTTCTGCTATAAGTAAATTTTCAATAGCGTCGGGTATAAGCTATTTATATATGTTTCTTATAGCAGTTTTATTTATTTATAATAGCAGTCCTGATATGTAATAATTGATGTACATCGAGGTGAGTTGGCCAACAGGGATAGCATTTTATTTTCTATACAGATAGCGTTTTTGTAAGAATACATGTATACGTACGTGTAAATATTACATGTATACATACGTGTAATAATACATGTATTATACATGTATACATACGTGTAAACTATACATGTATCCATACGTGTAATAATACATGTATTATACATTTAAACATACGTAATGATCATACGTATATGTATGAGATGTGTAATATATAGTATGATTTTTTTGGAAATACAGTATTTGTACAAATTATTGTACTGTAGTTTTATTTTGTTTGAAGTAGAAGGATATAGAATACAAAATTCAGAATTTGCAATAATTTGATATTAAATCTTGTTTTGATGGGCCTAAATAAAAAACAAAATCAAAAAGTACAAGATATTAATTGGGTCTAAATAGGCCCTATAACTAATTTGTCTTTAAGCCCATATCATTAGCCCTAACGTCCAAGACTTCGATGATTTGTCTTTAAGCCCATATCATTAGCCCTATTCCTGTTAGAAACTGAAGATGTTAATGTCAAATATTTTTCTGATTAATTGTTTTGAATGAGAATGAGTTAAGAAAAGCAAAACCTTTCAAGTTGTGTCCATGATGCATGACTAGCTCATCACTCTAACTTGGTCGACAAGAGAAATAAAGACAGCATCTTAAATTATTTTACATTCACCATTTTCGGGCTAATCCAAACAATAAGAATGCATAATACACGCTTAAAATGCAATAACAATGCAAGTTTAAAGACACTTATGCAATAACAATGCATGTTACAATTAACAGGATTATAACTTATGAATTAGGTCTCCAAACACTTATGCAAGGAACAAAACCCTTATGCAAAAGAGAATCATACAACCGATACACAAAAGATAATCAATGAAACCTTAATAAATCATTCAACCTAAGCATTCAGTCGGATCTTACCGATTCAGAGAACCAAATTTAACATCTTATTCATTTAGAGAAACCCTAATCATTCAGTCGCATGTTATCACTATGCTTCTAATCAAACTTTATCCAAAGAATCAAAGAACGTAACTCAAACAATAAAAATTATTCGAAAGGATGAAGAGAGTACTACCTGGAGATTGATTAACTGAACGCAGATCTTCTATTACCTGGAACAACAACGGAATTAATCAATTTAAGAATTGATTAATCTAAATATGAGGAAAAAGGGAGAAGCTTTCGTTACAGATCTTGAAGTTTCTTGCTGCTTGTCGAAGGCAAATGAACGGTTGGAGGAAAGAAAGAGAATCCTCGTCGGATGCGAGAACGGTTGGAGGAAGTTTCCTGTTGGAGGAAACATGATCTTTATTTTGGACTGAATAAAGTTGAAGTTTAGAGGAAAGAATCAGAAAATTTGGAGGCTGAATAGAGATGAAACGAATAAGACCTAACTCTCTCGTTTCTTATGTTGACAAATAAAAAAAATAATTCTGATTTAAAAGTCGAGAATGAGATGAAACGGGCTGATCAAAGGCTTAGATATCGCCACGTCATGTATCCGAGTGATGCATATTGATTGGATCGTTTATGAAAGCTTCAACAAGAGATTCAGATGTCATGAGGAACGGCTGAGATTTCGCCACGTCATCGATCCAAGTGAATAATTATAAGTGGCTATTTTATTTGAAGACATAAAAATATGTTTTACATGCCATTTAGCAATTTTAAATTTTTTTTAAAAATTATATATTGACAGACTAATGTGTTTATAAGTTATTTAAAATTTTTGATATTTTAAAAAAATTGATTAAAAATATTTGAAACGTTTTTAGAAATTTTTATGGTATTCCATATTGTTACCTAAGAAAACATGTACACTAATCTTCTTATTGTGTAAATCAAATTGTTGAAACATAATAATATTTGTTATAATCAATAAACTTATTGAATTATAACTACATATGTTATTTTTTTTATAAAATTAGTATTAGCTACTATTGAAAACTATCATAAACCTAAACCCTAAACTCTATACCCTAAACCCTATACCCTATACCCTAAACTCTTAAATTGTTGTTTATTAAATGTATCTATGTTACTATTTATATAATTACTATATTATAATTAATTATTTATGTTATAATTAAGTATTTATTATTAGCTACTAACATAATTCTATACCCTAAACCTTAAATTCTATACCCTAAAGACTATTTCCTAAACTCTTAATTTTTGTTTTTGAACTGTATATATGTTATTATTTATATAATTATTATGTTATAATTTAGTATTTATCTCATTTATTATTTTTAAAAACCCATTAATTTGATTTTATTTTTTTAATAATCACAATAAATTCTAATTTTTTAACAAAAGCACTAAATCGATTTTTTAATATTTATTTAAAAAGTCTGTGTATTTTTGCATGCATTTTCAATTTATTTGCATGAATTTATATATTTAATTTTTAATTGTTACATATTGTAGTTAATAAATAAATATATTAATACGAAACTTTCATAACTTAATAATATCTGAAAATAGTGCATTCAACAAGAACAAAAGAAAC